TTTGCTGTATTAAGGGTCACACCCTCAGTTAGGCCAGAAGTCCCCGTATCCTTTTGGGTCTACCCCTTGCCGCCCTTTTTGAGTCTTCTACTTGAACTAACTCGCACCTCCTAACAGGTGCTATATTGGGTATGCGCCACACATGGCCAGCCCACCTAAGTCTCTTTCTCTCATTGTATCGCCTATTGGTGCCACACCTAAACTTTTCTAAATGTATTCATTTCGAATTCTCTTCCTTCTTGTCTTGCCACTCATTCATCTTAACATCCTCATCTCTGCTACACTCATTTTATGGCTATATTGTTTGTTGATGACCCAACATTCTACCCCATAGAGCAAAGCTGGTCTCACAGCTGTCCTATAAAATTTACCCTTCAGCTTTTTGGTATGTGGCGATCACAAAAAATTCTGGTTGCACATCCAGACTCCTTAGATGACTTGTCTAATTGAGATTTGAGATTGAGACTAGAGACTTGAGAGTTGAGACCTGATTAGATTATCTTTTGATTTCTATTGCCTTTTATGTTTTGTTCTTGACTCTTGAACTCTTCGTAGGCTTTTAGTGTTTGTGTGTATATTTGCTTTAGAGTTTGTAATTTTAAAGTTGCAATTGCAATTATGGTTTTTGGATGTTTTTGAATAATGTATGATGTCTTCCATAAAGTTAGTTTCAAGTTTCTAGTTTTACTTTCTAATGTCTTTTTTGTCTATCAAGGGATTTAGAGTCTCCGTCAACTGATAAAATTGGAGTTAATGAATAAATTAAAGGGTGCGGTTTGTATAGAGCCGAGGCTCTAAACAATCAAAGTAAAATGGTTTTAATACTGAAAATCCTTGTGATAGCCTTAAAATATATTTTCGTCTTTAACTATAAAATTTAAAGCTTAAAAAATAGTGTGGATCGAGCAGATCTTTGAAAGCTTGAAAATCTTGAAAATTGATGGTCCAAAAATGCGTTACAAGATACACTATTTCCAAAACTTGAAATGTTTTTTTTCTTTATGTCCATGCATCTTGATGTCGAGATGATCAATTTGAGGATATTTGGGCATCAAATCAACCTCTTCTCGTGAAATTTTTTAGGTGGGCTCTAATTTGATTGTTTAGTGCCTCCGCTCTATATAAACTTTTTCTTAAATTAAATATCTACTATCATGTAAATTACTCCATATATTTTCCATGCATTAAACTATTTCTGAGATTTTTTTGGATTTGTTTTATCTTTATTGACCACATAGGGGTAATGCGCCAGCATCTACATCGCATTGAGCTGCATCGGAACCACATCCCACATTTTACAAGATTGTATCAAATCCTAACCCCACTCTTTCTCTCTTCTCTCCCCCTCCCCAATTAAAAAAAGAAAAAAAGAAAAGAAAACAGAAAAACCAAAACCATTTGATATATTGACCATAATCAAGTGGTGCTTCTAAGGCTTCAGGGGCTATCTATTAGGACAAGTGAAGGCTGAAGATCTTGCTTTTCTATTAGGTGAACTTGTTCCTTGATCCATTTAACAACATTTGAATTTCAAGTTGACTTTTTCTTTGTACTTCCTTTTTATTTCTCTGCTCGCTAGGTTTTATGTAAGATGATTCCATCGATAGAGATATATTTCATGTGAGGCAGCTGTAGATGTTTTCTTCTTTTCTTTGTGAACAAATTTTTTTTATTGGCTTTTACAGTTTTGGTGTCTTTTCGTAATGTGTCTGAAATTTTCAGGACAACTGTTGAGATTTTTGGGAGAGAGTGTTGAGTTTGTTTCACTAAAATTCATAGTCCTGTTTCCTAATAGAGAATTTTTGTGCATTTCTATGAATTTAATGCCCTTTTATTCAGCATCTTATCTCATTCACTAGTGGATCTCCTGCCACTAAGCAGTGGAATTATGGTAACCATCCACATTTTAGGGTTCCTTTTGGTTTTATTGTGGATCTCTTGTGTTGCATACCTGACTTCCATTGTTCTGTTCAAACTTAGAATGTACACCCAAGTAATTGCTTTTTGGGTAGCTATAGATTTGAACTTTATTATTGGAATTTAAGTGAATCCAATATATATCATTGCAGCTTATATGTGACTTCTATTTTTGTTTTTTTTTGTTTTCTTTCTATCTGCCTTTGATATTACTATTTCTTGAAGGCATGCCTTTGATAAAATCCTTTTGTTATGTTTCCACAAGAAAACATTACGATAGAACTCTGGTTATTAAGTGTGAGTTGGTTATGGTTTTGTTGGACTGGTAGACTCCATTAAATATATAAGAGAACCTTTACTTCGCCATTTTTGCCGAACATGAGATGGATGTTGAAGTTTGTTTATCGGATCTTGTGCCACACAGTATGCCTGGTGCCAGTAGCATTGTATATTACATCTCCTCTTCATTGGATAAACTCGATGAATGGGAAATGTTGAGTTTCCTCTTTTGTTTCCATTTCAAAAGATTGATTTAAATTTACTTGTAAAATCAAAATGATCAGTTATCAATGAGTTTGGTCGATGTTATTTGTATTGCACCAATTAATGTTACTTGTATTCATTGCCATTATTTGGGATGACCATCAGAGAACATCAATAAAATTTGTAATTGCTAGATTACCTATTTTGCATCTCTTCATTTGAAAAATTGTGCAGTGTCCTATGAAGCCTGAAATACAAGATCTCTGTAAAAGCTTGTTCTTTCAACGATTTTAGCTCAAGATGTGGTCTAGGTTTCCTGTTTTCTCTTTTAAGCTGAACATGATAATCTTCACTCACTCTTTCTCCCCCCTTTCCATGTTTTCTCTGAGATTATGTATATTTCTCAAGTGATTAGCTTTAAGCCTTCAAAGTGATTCTTGACCAACTACTATAATAGACCAGGCTCAAGTATTCTGTTGGGAGCATTTATTGTGTTGGTCTAGCTTTCAGTTTTTTCTTAAAGCCTGCCAAGGCTTGTGCAGTCACTAAGCAGTGTTTTTGGTATTGATAGGATTTACAAGACTATTCATTGAGGATGATATTCATTGCAATACGGTGAATTGTAGTGACATTAGAATTCTAAAGATTCGATATTCCTCTCTCATGGATTCTAGATCACTTTGTAGCATTTGGATTGTGTGGTGTTGTATGATAATGAATTATAACAGTAAGTTTTGGAGAACGGATGGCAACATGTGTTTGTAGAGCAACATGTGACCTGACATTGCTATTGCAAATTGTAACCTTCAAAAGTTCTAATGTTGTTTTATTTTGAGTAATTGGTTAAATATGTGCATGATTGTGCTTTGCTATTTCGATTGATTATCTGAAGATTATAATGGATATAAGGAAACACTGCCTCTGAACCAAAATTTGTCCCAGGGACAAACTTAGGAAGCTAACCAAGAGGCTGATGCCCTTGCCAATGCCAATGGAGATGTTCTCTTCTCACATTGACCTTTGTTAATCTTTTTTTATTTTATAATTTACTTCAGTAATAAAATTTATTTTTATTAAGAAAAACAATAGAACACCCCAAGACAGCAAATAACATTTCCTCAAACTGCAAATTGGTGAACATGGAAATTTGATAACAAATTTCTAGATTTGGAAGTCAATCGGTGCCTTAATAGGGTTTTGAGAGGAGGAATTCATCTTATGAATGTGATGGAATTCTTCTTCTCTTTTTGTTTGTAATTTTTTGAAGCTGTCAACAAAGTTGTCTGGGGAAGCACATTAGAGCTTTTATAGGTTGGCTATCTTGCTAGGTTGGTTGGGCATCTTTGAAGTTAGGTGCACCTTATATTAGTGATGGTTATATAACGTGTCAACCTTATACTATTGAAGTAGGGTGCCCCTCAAAAATCCTATAGAAGTAAATATTTCAATGTTGGAAAAATCTCCCATTGATCATCTCGACTTCGAGATGTATAGATGTGAAAAATATGCATTTCGAGTCCTAAAAGTAATGCATCTTGTAATCAATTATCTAGACCGTCTTAAGGTTTTCAAGTTTTTATAGATCTGCTTGATCTGTATCATTTTTGAAAATTTAAATTTCAAAACTTAGGTTGAAAATTGATTTTCACGCTATCATAAAGTTTTTGACAACACAACTATATCTCCAGGAAAAATTTAGAGGTGTGAGTTACTTCTATATTATATGGAGGGTGACTCATATAAACCTCACCCTTTAAGTCTTGAAAATTATGATCAAGGTTTTAAAAAATGCTTGATGGCCCTTAGGCTCCTGGGAGCTGCCTAGGGCGCCCAATGCCTAGGCAGTTGCCTAGAACCTTAGTCACCCTGTGGTTTAAGATATACACATGTATGCATATAATGCCGTCCAATTTCAATATATGCATATATGTGTCAAAATATGCATATATATGTAGTCTAGCTAACTTTTTATGCAAATATATCCGCTGAACATAGCTTGAAAAAGTTAGGGGGAAAAGAAACGAGGAAGTGCTTACAAAGCGTCAGAGCAATACATTGAGAAACATATGTGGAAATGCTTAGGAACCATTTTGAAAGAGTATGGGAAATGATTGAGAAAGGAACAAGAAATTTCTAGGGGAACGTTTTGAGATAGGTTATAGTGCAGATTAGAATTGTTTGCCACTACAAGATACAAGTCTAAAACCATTTAGCTTAACATATATTCCACTTTCAAACTCTTTAAGACTATAGCTTACCATCTTTCTCTCTTCTCATGCACCTGTAATGCATATTGAAGGTTAACTCATTTTTACATATCATTTCTCTCTGTCACTATGACTTACCTTTTCTCTCTATACCTCTCACCTGCACATGAATATGAACCTTTTTCTGTTGTAGTATGATTGTACAATGAGCCATAATGGAAAAATGATTATTAGAAAATATTTTATTATGACCTGTATTAGAAAACATTTTATTTTCAGTGCCAATATCACAATGCATGATTTTATGCAATTTTACACTGCATGTATGGTTTCATATAGATTAGCATCCCATCGGCAATTTCTTCACGTGACTTCTTTTTTGTTGCGATGTAGGACATTCGAGGATGGATTTCCTAACCTATTTATACCAAATGCACATGGCATTCGAGGTCAACATGTTGCTTTTCTGGCCTCATTTAGCTCTCCTGGAGTAATATTTGAGCAACTATCCATAATATTTGCACTGCCAAAAATGTTTACATTGTCGTTTACGCTTGTCCTTCCGTTTTTTCCCACTGGATCTGTTGAGCGCATGGAAGAGGAGGGAGATGTGGCAACAGCATTCACACTTGCTCGCATCTTATCAACTATACCAATTTCAAGGGGAGGCCCAACCAGTTTGGTCATATTTGACATTCATGCCCTGCAGGTTGGTACGTAAAATTTATCCTAATAAAGATATATCGTTGGTTGATTTATTGTTCTATCATGTTAACTTACTGCCATAATCAAATATCTTGAAATGTATGCTTTCTTTGCTATCCTTTTCTATCATTATATTTTTCCTGTTACATTTGATTTTACACCCAAGGAGATGCCTTTCAAATATTGTTGTAAGGGAAATAGGAAAAAAGGAAAAGTACTAGAACAATTCGCCAATAAAATTAGCAAGAATCAGGAGCCATGAGTGCCAAGAGAGAGTAAGTTGGAGCTTCCAAATGCAATTCTTCTTTATTTTCAAATATAAGTTCTTTAATTCTACAAATACATTCTTTTTGGATTCTACAAATAAATGTTTATGATGATCCTTGGTAACACCCGACTTTCTTGACGAATTCATTCGTATGCCAACTAAAAATATAAAAATATAAAGTTCATGACCTATTGAGATTCTAAATGGAAGTAATTTAGTATACTAACTCAAATAATGAACAGCATCAATAACCGCATTAAAAACAAATCCTAAAGGGGCCCATACACCTTACCGCATTATTCCTGGCCAATTGAGAAAAACTCGACTAGTGCAATTGTTGCAATATATATTGAAATAGTGTCTCAATATTTGCTTCCTTTGAGAGTAGGATAAGGCAATCTTCGACTCTTTGAAATTCTGTGTTCCACTTAGATTTGATAACTATTATATACAGATTCCCCTGAATAAAGGTACTCTTGGTTTCTAGTCTTCTACTCTATGATTTCTTTAGGCACATTACAATGTATGTCAGTTGCGCAAGCTGTTGTGATTCTCTTGGTTTATATGGGTACTCTCCCTGCAAATACCATCAGGAGCACATTCAGTTCTTCCCTCTCTTGCTACTATCATGATGCAACTTAGGGATTTATGATGCAATGCTCTGATCCTAGTTATTGCAGGGAAAAAATGGGAAGAAAATATCAGAAAAATTCACTAATATCTATAAGACTAACAGGAGCCAGGGGGCATGGAAGCCATACAAGATCTTTTTCTCTAGATGACAAACAATTCGGGGTAAAAAAAGAAAAAGAAAAGAGAAGTTCCTTATGTTGCCCTACTCCATATTAGTGGCTTCAGTTACTAAAATCTTTGTAAAACTCTAATTTACCCAGCTTCTTGTTTTATGATTTAAGTAGTCTACCTACCTTGCTTTTGAAAATTTACAAAGAGAAATAGACTTCGCACACTTCTAGTAGCTGTGTGTTTGATGTGAATTTTTGTATGGTCCACCATCTTCCCATCGTATATATTTGTTTTCTATCGATTGTCGCCCAGAACAAATATGCATGTATATTAGCAATATGGATTGCTCAACTTGCTATCTATTGGTTCATGTGTTTTTTTAAGGAAAACACTGATTAAAGCAGATACAATACAATAGAAAGTAATGAGCCCTGGGTTTGTTTCCTGGATGATTATGAACTCCAATTCCATTCATGGTAAGATTTTTACTGGATGAACACCATAACTCTTGACAAACACAACCTTTAGGATCTCTTTGTCATATGGTTAATCAACATCTTTTTCAAATCTCATTTATCTGCCCATTGGACCATATGTAATCTATTTGCCAATGCAGATCATTTGTTTTAGTTCCACTGATAAATGGCACCATATTTTTTGTGGACTTGGATCTTTTTATTTTGGACTGGCTTGGTGATCTCTAAAAGGAAGTTGATTTGCTATTTTGTCTGATGAAACTGGAAGACTTATATCCATGTTATTTGCAGTTCAGATCGTTTCTAATAATCTGTGTATCAAATATTTTTAGCACTATCTTCTGAGTTCAATATTGATGTCAGAGCAATTTCTTGCTTTCTCTATCACTGTGGCTTGTCCATTATGAAGTTTAGTTTGGTCCATACTCTTGGGATACTCCTTTGAGAACTCATGCATAATCGTATGTCTCACTAATGTCTAACCATCATTTGTCAAGAATCTGTGTCAGATTTTTCGTAGTTACAGTTTTTCACTTCTTTACTAAGGGAAATCGGGGAGTGAAATATTTTTCTTTCAATTAATAGAGATATAGAAATAGATTTTCAATTTATTGCACATTGATTTTAAATTATGACAGCGGAAAACTACATTGTGTGTCATTGGACACACAATGTATACCGCTCTTCCTTTTGTCTTGCAGAAATCATCGCATTTGGGATTTGCATTCTTTTGCCTTTATTTTGATTTTTTTTTTTCTTTTTCTTTTTGGAGAACGCATTACATATAAAAATTAGTATCCACCAAAATCTTATTCAGATATCAAAAAGCTTTTAAATTCTATATATGATGATGATGAGTGGTGTTCATCTGAGTTTAAATTTGTCAGAAGACCGAGAACTTGGGTTCATGAACTTTAGATCTAAAATACATTTATTTGCCAATTTCCCTGCCTTAAATCAATTTTCTCATATCAGCATAGTTCTCTAATGATTCATGATTACAGGAAGTAGCCTTTTCTTTTTCTTTTGATATTGATTAACTATAGTTTTATTAATGTTTTGTCCTATTATGTTAAAATTATAGGAGCGATTCTACTTCGGTGATAATGTTTTGCCTTGCTTTGAGAGTGGGATTCCTTTGCTCAAACAAAGGCTCCAACAGCTTGATGACTCCAATAATGTGAGTACAGTTCTAATCAGACCCTTGCACAGTTCTAATCAGACCCAATAGTTGTGTGTTTTAGTAGGATTGTTTCAACTTTGCTTCTTATAACATTAAATCATGTGATTGGCTATAGAACTCTTCTACTTGTGATAAAGTTGCCTCTCTTGATTTTATAGATAACAATTGCATTCCCTGATGATGGTGCATGGAAACGATTCCATAAACAACTTCAGCATTTCCCTATGGTAAAACTGTAATCACTTTTCCCTGCCTTTTTACATTTATTTTGATTACTGTTAATTGTTGTTGTTCTTATTATTGAGGCTCCATTTGATTATCAAATTGCATCAAATGAATCGTTTGTGAAATTGTAGTTTATTAAAGTGCAATTTGGTGAATTTCTCATTTGCTGTCTAGGGTTATTTGAATGTCTGATTTGAATTGAAATTTCTTATTGTGGTGCGATGGTGATGGTGTAGTGGTGTTGGTGCTGTGATGATGTGGTGGTGGTGGCTGAGTTGTGGTAGTGGCTATCCGAGGACGGTGGTGGTGGCTGGGTGGTAATAGTGGTGGCAGTGCTATGAGTGGGCGGATAAGGTGAGGTGGTGGTCATGGTGCTGGCAATGGTGGAGGGAGGGAGGTGGCAATGGTGAGGAGGGGAGTCCAAGTGGTTTTTCCCTGATCGCAATTGGGGGCCCAACTTGTGAGATTGCAATTGGGGCCCCAACTTGTAATTTGGAGGGAGGGAGGGAGGTGGCAATGGTGAGGAGGGGAGTCCAAGTGGTTTTTCCCTGATCGCAATTGGGGGCCCAACTTGTGAGATTGCAAATTGGGGCCCCAACTTGTAATTTGGAGGGAGGGAGAGAGGAATAGAGTCTTAAGTGATTTTTCCACAATCGCAATTGGGGCCTAACATGAAGATCACACTTGGAGTATGATTTTGCCTCCAACATGTAATAATAGCATTTTAACCAGTCCAAAAGGAGTCTAAGTGTACGTGCCGTTTTCATGAATAACATGCTCTGTATATGCTTTTGCCTCCAACGTTTTAACTCGCTTTTCAGGTAGCCAAAAAGACAAATTATTATAACTGTATTGTTGTTATTTACCATTACCTTAACCTTAAGAGGTTTATAAAAAATTAATATTATTTACCATTTTTTATTTTTTTTGCTGTTATCATCATCGTCGTTATCATAATGATCATTATCATCATCATCATCATTGATGTTGCTATTGCTGACAATGTCTGAATTGTTAGATAACATTTTCATTTTTGTGGTGCCTTTGTGAACTTTGGATGGAAGATAATCTGCACAAAAGTTCGAGAGGGCGACCAACGCATTGTACGCCTCAAGGAAGGAAATGCTCAAGGTCGCCACGTGGTGATAGTTGATGATTTGGTACAATCAGGAAGTACCCTCATTGAGTGCCAGGTATGTGAGTATGTGTATTATTGCTGCCCTATGCCTATATTCTTCAAGGGGAAAACATATACTATAGAATGTTTGGTTAGTTCCCTCAATTATGTATTATCTGTCGTCCATATCATTGTCAAAGTTTGCAAACATGTTTGAAGCAGGAAATGAAACTCTTATGCTCGAGTAAAGATAGTTTTAGGTATTCTCTTGTTTCTCTCTTTTATTTTTTGAAACAGTATGCGTTAATTTTCACAAGAATTATGGTTATTTATAGACAGCAGGCTACTAGAGTTGAAATGTCCAGCAAATTGTGGAAGTTAGCAGGCAGCAGCAGGCCTCTTTATTCACGTATAATACTTGTGACGAAATCATTACGTGGTGATATGTTTCGTCCACATGAGAGAGAGAGAGAGAGAGAGAAAGAGAGAGAGAGAGAGAGATAAAATATGGGAATGAAACATACACTATAATAGAAAAGAATATGTTATATAGGAAAGAATATGTTATATAGGACCAATGTGGCTATTTGGGGGGGGGTGGGGCAAAATCCCTTGATTAAACTTTATATATCAAACAATAAAAAAGAAAACTTTTTCTAAGTTGTTTTGTATGTGTTATTATGTTGTACTATTTCCTAATATATATACATGAATTTGAAACTTGAATCAGTATAACTTTAGAATATTAAAACTTGCCTTAAATAACGATCATTTCATGCTCAGTCATACAACATTGAATAGAATTATAGATAAAACAATTGCATTCCTTTCAATCTATCCTTAGATGTTATAGTTAATCTATACCATCCTCACCAATCATCATATACCAGAAAGACAAAAAATCAATCTTGTTAACTCAATTTGCATATTGCGTTTCATCATCCTCACCATCACCGCCAACACCACCAGCAGGACCACGACCATTTGCAGCTTCACCACTAGTTGCATTCTATGAAACATGGACACACATATCTGGTGGTCTGACCACACGTCAACACTTGGTGGATACAGATATTCGTGTCGATGCTTCTAGAAATGCGTACAACACTTCTATGGGGTGTCTAATGGCATGTCCCTTATTTCGATGAGTTTAGGTTTTGGAATTTGGCGTTTCTACGTTTAGACATAATATTCATCAACGAATAATATTTTATTTTTAAAAAATATTTTAAAATAATAAAAGTAATAATTGAATAAAAAATAAAAAATATTTTTTATATTTCCATCAAGGCTGCTAGTGGGCTGATCATATTGATTTTGGATGAATACATTAGGACCCTATTCTATAGCCATGCAATTGGGGCACTACATTTGAATTAATACCTAGAATACTTTTTAATTTTTTCCATGTTGTTAGGAAATCGAGTTCTGCTTCACAAAGTAAACATTTCTTGGACTATTAATTTTATTCAGTTATTCTTGATGCTTTACTATTGTTATGACATGAATTTTTTGAATATGTAAATGCAGATGTGAACTACATGTAAATTTCAATATATACGTGTGTATAGACATGCGCATATACATAGACACCAATATATTGTATGGACGTGTCCTATTCAGATGTTATTTTTTTGGGTTCACATTTTTGACACTTGCATCCATGTCACAAATAGACACACGTACCCTGACACTTGCATCCATGTCACAAATAGACACACGTACTCATTTCTATGTAACATAGATTGCATCTGAATTTGAATCTGATGATACCTATCCATCGTCATCAGAAGCATCCTCCTCAACGTATCACTCTTATGTTTCTTGTAAGTTAATATCCTCTTCCTCCTCATCCTCCTTTATTGTGCTCATGCTCTTCCGTAAAGATTTACATCTAGTGGCCTACATAGGACAAATGAGTTTCTCCTAGCCTCGTGAATACGGCCCAAGTTGAATCTCTCTCCAGGGAACATTGTAACATCTCCAGCATCGACCAGCCCCTTACTGAATTCGTCCACTTCCCTCACATCAATTGTAATGGTAGCACTTTTTCAACCTTTGATTGTACTGAACATAAACAAGATCATTTGGTCTCTTCTGCTCGAGTTGGATTCTCCTCTTTGCATGAATCCGCTGGATGTGCATGAATGCATTATTTAGAAAAATACAATATAAGTTTGGGTTGCCTTAATAGGGCATATGAAGACCAATAGACTTGGGAGCAGCAGGACAATGAGTTAAGAAATTTCCATATCAAAGCAGCTAAATTTGGGCTCATAACCAGATGAGCTACAAGTCATTAAAATGTGAAGGGTCATCCTCTGTAAGTGGATGGCTTCCCCCATGTGCTGCCCACTGTAGTGCTAAATTACATGGAAATAAAATGGAGTACATCACTGTAATTGGAGTTTAAAACTAGTGATCCTAATGTATATAAAGTCATTGATGTACTCAACTCACAAATCACAATGAAAAAGTAAGTACAAATATTAGCGGAATTATTTTAGTCCTCTGCCTTACTACTATATATTTCCAAGTGAGTCCATTGAGAGTTTATACATATTTAGGTCTTTTTTTTTTTTTGATAGTGTGATATTTAGCTCTAATGTTACCTTGTCATGTTGCAGAAGTTGTTTGCATCTATGATCCAGCCCTTAGAATCAATCCCAAAATCAATATAAGTTAGTGTGATTGGGAAAATACCTTGTTGCATACAACAGCCTATGCAGCTGGCTGTTCCACTGAGCTTCTACAATCTTCAAAACCGAATGATACTTTCTTTCATCAATGCCAAATTTCTTTGAAATTTCGTCCCAGGTTGCCTCCATTGCCTTGTAAATGGCCCATTAGTTGTTCCTTCATATAAACTAAACATAAGACCTTCAGCAATGGATGGAATGCTTGGAGGGAGTATACTACTCCATTTTGAAGCCAAGGTTGCAAAACAAGACTAGGCACTCTCTTCCCCTTTGCATTCTTTGACCATGCTTTTTGGTCCAATTCTTCAGAGAAACATGTCCTGAGCTTGTCTTTTGAGGCCAATGTAGACTAGGTGAGTTAGAAGTGACAAACCTAATCACCCTTGGCATCACCAAGTCCCTCTTATCGGAGAACCTCCTCATCTTGGCTAGGACGTGGATGTGGGTGCATATTTTTAGTGTGGCTCTTGCTTTCTTGATTGTTCCAAATGTTCATTGCAAAGGGTGTCCAAAAAATGTGCGGCTTCTTCTCCAACCACAGATTAGCAGCCCCCATCTTGGCTGATACCATATCCATGACCACTCTTATTTACATATTGCTTGCCCACCTCCTACATATAATGGGCTGCTATACTGAAAATGAACTTTGTCTTATGATTCTCACCAGATGCATCGATCAATTTAATATTGTCCCCATTGGATTGTTTCACCAAAAATTCATAGTACTTCTTTGGTTCCTATTTGTCCATGAAATTGCCATTATTTGACTCCATACATTCCCCATGCATCTTTTAAGGGTCTTCAAGTACTCATTTGTAAGCTCCACATCTTTCTTAAGGGCTTCCTGTGCTCATGAAAGTGTAAAGGCCTTCAGCTAGGCCTAAATTGCGCCTAGGGCTGGAAACGGGTCGAGCCTTGGGCCGTGCTGGCCCTGGCCCTAATCCCATAGGGCCGGCCCAGGCTTGGCCTGGCCCTGATCAGGCCACAGAGGCCTTGGCTCAGACCTGGCCCGAGCCCTCTCTAGGCCGGACTGGGCTATAAATAAAGAATAAAGAAAATAAAAAGAAAAATAAAGAAAAATGATAGCCAGGCTGGGCTGGCGCCTTGGCCCTAGCCTTACTCGGTCTCGCCCTCATGCTCTAGTGGCCTAGCTGGGCTCAAGCCACATTTTGTGGCCCAGGCCCTAGTTTTTTAGGGGCAGGTCGACCGGGCCACCTGGTCCATTGCCACTCTAAACTATGCCATTGTTTCCAACATATATTGGAAGCCCTTCAAGCTAACGTCATTGAAGCACCTGCTTGATACATCCGTTGGGCTTTTTATTCATAAACCCAAAACCCTTTTGCCTCTTTTAGGGGACAAGGACAGATAATGTCCTTGGCCTTTGGCCATTTTCCATCCTCGGTCAAGGAATGAGGCACCTGCCTTGGCCCATAAGGGAGCCAAGGTGCTAGGCAGTGCCTCGGCCAACTACTGCTGCCTAGCATAGGCACCTGCCCAGCCCTAGGCAATGCGTTGGGCCTTGGCCCACCTCAACATGCAAAGGCAGGCCAAGCTTTAAAACATTGATAATGACATTATTATATGCTTGTCCTATCATAATGTTTGTGCATCCTGCCACCCAAATAATACATTTCAATCTATTTTCGTTCATCGTGTATTACTAAAAGGATTATGATTCTACGTTGAATATCCATAGATTACGTTATTTACTATGTCAAGGGGAAATATTGTGTAATTTGTACAATTGTTGGGTAGTCATACCCAACATCCGCTTTCAGTACTTATCTATGGACAGTGGAAAATGAATTGTTTTCCACTTTTAAAGGATCCCTTGTTTTAAGTAGGATAGTTACTCATTTCCAGCATCCACTGACAAGGATGGATGTTGGGTATGAGTAGCCAACCTATACTCGTATGAAGTATATAGCATATGGTCCCTGGCAATACTATAATGCATATTTCTATTTTCTTATGTGAGCATCTTATTTTTGAACATTAACTGTTTCATTAATTTTAAGCATTAACTGTTTCACTAATTTTAAGGCATACAGATATGACTGTTTACACAAGACTATTGTTGTAAAGTCACTTTCTCTCAACTAGATAAAAGATTCTATCGTTGTACCACCACACACTTTACAAAAATACTATCAAACATGAACCTCTATAAATGTATGCACAACCCAGTAAATGATGGTTCTGCTAAAAAAGGCTTTGCGATCTTGCCAAAGCATTGGCTTTTTTATTGGTTTCCCTTTACAAATGTTTCGTGAACATTGTGAGGTGACCCAGCCTATCCCTGATCTTGTTACATATGTTGTTTAATCGTCTAGGGCAGGAATTCTCTTTTTATCCCATGTAATCACATGCTCAAGTTGCCTGATGTGACTATGGAAGTCCAGTTTGGGTCAAGGTCCATTATACCGAAGAGCACGGACTATGCCTCTGCTTTGTTGGGCCCACATATATGTAGTGGGGCAGAAAATAAGTCAAAAAGGGTTATTCCATGGTAATCCCTCACAATAACCTGTGCAGCTGCTGGCCCAAGATTTCCCCTAGAACTCCAATTTACTTCACTCTCCCTTTTGGTGATGTTGTCCACTTTTAAGATCTGCCTTTTTAATGTTTGTATGGACATTGTACTTCCAGTGGTTTTTGAGCAGAAAACCCCAAAATTCTTTCCGTGCGCCATGACATTACAGCGGCCTTGATACTGTCCATCCATTGAGTTTCATGTCTTTTTTCTCTGAAGCACCTTCTCTTTCTTTCACATCATATGCTTCATATTACTCTCATATGAACAATCTCCATAGTTTTACTGCAAACAACGCTTCCATTGGAAGAGGTAGTACCCATACAACATCAAAGAGGCCTAAGACAAAGCCCCATATGTCCTGTGCCATGGTACACTGTAAAAACAAGTGTTCACTGTTTCTTCATTCTGCTGGCACATTAAAGAGATGTTGGGGATGGGCGTGCCTCTATTATTTAGGTGGTTGATAGTTTGCTGAAGTATAGTGAACCATAGTTACCTGAAGCGATTCGGAAACCAAATCGATTTAGGAATCAGAATCTCCGTTGGCTGGAAGATTCCTGTTTTCAGAATCGACATTCGTACAAGAGGAATCATGGGGGATGAGATTCCTATTTTAGGAATTAAGATTTGACCACAATAGAATCCAAATCTTTAAATAGATGGAATTGAGATTCCTAGCTCTCTAGAATCGAGTTTCCGACCTAATTGGAATTGGTCAATTTGGAATCGAGATTCCTTCATTTATGGAATCGAGATTCTGACATCTTTGGAATCGAGACGGAACTGAGAGAGAAACAATACATGTCTCAATGCCAGTCATTGATTGACGTGCCATACATGCACGTTTACATTATTGGCATTATATTATTTCTAACATCTTGGAGTTGCAATCTCTCCAATGGATCAATAAAATGCATACTCAAAGAATTAAGTAAAGAACGTCGATCACCACTTTGGTTTCTATTGGTCATTTCATACCAAAAAAGATGATTACACCTTGTAGCTTGAGATTTAGTGTCTAGCTCGAGTAGTTTGATGCCTTGAAAACTCCTTAACATCATTTCTAAGTAAAAGCAAAAAGGAAAAAAAAGGGTGGGTGGCTGGGGGGGTGGGGTTGTTGTAGAATTCCGGTAAATATGGATTCAATTTCTACAAGTACAAAATCGAGATTTTAGACTTCACGGAAATGGCTCCATGAAGATTCCTAGTCAAAATCTCCGGATCGGGTTCTGAACCGGAATCATGATGTTTGGTGAGAGATTTAGGTAACTATGTAGTGAACATACAAAGTCCTGCATTTTCAGCATGGTGGAATGGTCAATACCTTCTTGACACCATCATCAATATTGCTGGTCCTTGTTTGGGCACGGTACATTGATTCATGAAAATCTCCTTGACTCTTAGGTGTCTAGATTAGATTATCTTTCCTCATTGGCGAGAATGCTTGCTGCAGCTCTGCCATCAGGTTCCTGAGTTCTTCAGTCTCTTCATCCTTTAAGTCTCTTCTCAGACATGGAGTCCAAATGATGTTGTACGGTATCCAGATCTTTCTGCTATTTCGGGCTCTGTTACTTCTGGTTTTGTTGCCATATCATGCACCTCTGGATAGAAATCCTCAGGGGCTGATCCCCATGTCTATGAGATTCTCGTGGTTCTTCCATTTCCAACCAGCATTCTCATTTGGTTGGCAATTTGTTTATTCTGTTTATATTCTTTTTAGCTGCTACTACTGGTATAGAAAATAAGGACATGCAATAAACATGCAAGTTAGTAAATAAATGGTGGATTTTCCCTTGGTTATCATTCATGCCATGGTCTGCATCCATGGCTATATATATGGGGACTGTTCTCTTGGCCACGAGAGCATTTGTGGTTTTTCCCCTCATGTTGATACATATAAATATGACATATAACTATTTGCATATATTGTTTTCTTCAAAAATAGAACTTGAAGTACCTTTTTCTTCAAAAACATGTGCATTATCCTTGTCTATTTTTACTTATTCGATCGAAAATTGTCATGTTTGCGTCCATTAATTTGGTTGTTGGAAGTACATAATATATACTGTTAGGAAGATCAAACTAGGGTTTTCACATGCTTGACTTCCTAACTACTGAACCAGTTGTCCATCTAAACATTTCCATTGCGTTTTTTGTTTTCAAGTGCCACATATGGTTAGGAAAACCGGGTGCCAGAAATTCGATTTTGATCGCTAATAAATAAATTTTGCAAGACCTTGCATTTCCTTAATTTCACCCTCTTACGGGCCAGTTTCCAACATAATTATTCCCAATGTTCAATACCATCATAAAAGAGTAAAAAAAACGAAAGAAAAACGAAAAGGGAACAAAACCATGAATACCTAGGGATTCATTATTATGGCATAGGGTGTGCTTAGGGTTTCAAATCTAAATTTGATTCCTCCATAGTAGGAATTAGGAAGTTGCGGTACTCTAATAAAATTTGATTCCTCCATAGTAGGAATTAGGAAGTTACATGCCCTATTTGTGACATGTGAGTTCATGAAATACAACTACTACTAGATTTTTACAGACACCAAAGGATGTGGAGTTTTGGAGATTTGGGAATCAAGGAGAGCCCTCAAATAAATATGAGCAAGTCCAAGGTGGCCCGCTTGCGTTTAGAGTCATCTTGATAGTTTGGTTCTTTCAGTAGTTCTGTCTTTTGTATTATGAACTCTCTCTTGCTCTCTCTCTCCCCTTTCCCCCCAAAAAAAAAAACAAAAAGCTTATATATTTCTTTGATTAATTTAAGTGGACAAAAAGCTTGTATATTTCTTTGAATAATTTAAGTGGAAAATCATTCTTATTGTGTGTTTCCTTTTTTTTTTCTGAAATATTTAAGAAAGTGTTAGCAGCTCATGGTGCAGCAAAAGTAAGTGCCTATGTGACTCATGGAGTGTGCCCTAATAGATCATGGGAGCGGTTCCAGCATGATAATGGAGGTAATTTTGTTTTCCTGCCATCGCGTGTACGTGCGCACACTTTTCGAGAGAGAGAAAGAGAGAGTGCCCACACACTGCAAAATCGTTTGTGTCTATATGTTTGAAGAGATCATGAGATTTTAAGGATATCGTTGTTTTCTAAAGCTTGTGATACTACACTAAGATCATCAAAAGACAGCAGACATTTATTACTTTGTATGATGGAGGGAAATGATATATGGTTGATTTTGTTTGTTATTATTGCCATTTCAGTGGGTCCAGAGAATGGGTTTTCCTACTTTTGGATCACAGACTCTTATCCACTTACTGTAAAGCAGGTAAGCAACAGGCATCCATTTGAGGTCCTTAGCCTAGCTGGTGCCATTGCAGCCGCTCTCCAGATATGATTGTGTCGAGACGGCAAATGCTCATGGAGGGAAATTTTTGTTTTTGTGATCCATAAAGTTTGACATGTTCTTATTCTGGTGTTATTATTGCAAGTTGGAGGAGGAAAATAAATGAGCTGGGATGAGGAAACTGTTGATCCACTTAATCTCTGATCTTAAGTTTAGGAGTAATTGATGCTTACTTACTCGCCTGGTAAACAATGAAACTAAATCGATATGCATCCATGCAGATAGAAAAATACAGATGTGGGAACAAACAAATGATCTTTTGAAACAAAAAGGTGAACTTCGATAAGTTCCAACTCTTTATACTCAATTACAAAGAAATAGAGGAGGTTGCATTTACTTGTTGGGTTATGTCAAGGTGCTCACCCAGAGTAATTTATTATTATAGTCAGCGAATATATCTTAACAAAAAAGAACTTTCATGTACAAAACAATTTATTTTTATAGTCAACGAAAATATCCTAACAAAAAAGAACTTTCATGTACAAAACAAGGTAATATAAATTAAAGAAAATATCTCTATAGACTTTATTTTTAAGTTTCATTTTTCCGTAAACCTGAAATTTTAAAACCTATTTAGCTGTATACAGATTTTATTTATTATATCTTCAAACTCTCTAAATCAATTTTATTTTATTTTTTAGTTCAAACAAATTTTTATAAAGACATCATTTTTAAGCTCTTCTTTCCAAGTTTCTCTCTCTAAGCTCGCAAACCCTTTTCTCTGGCTATTTCCTCAACTCTCTCTCCCTGTGAGAGAGAAGCACGTGAAGATAGAGAAAGAAGAGAAAAAATTAGGTTTTTTTAAAGAGCTATTTTTCAAATTTGATTGGATTAAAAAGTTATGGTAAAAATGGATAAACATAATTTAGAGGGTTGGAAAATAAAAAGATAAAATCTCTATGTTTTAAGATAGGTTTGAAAAGTTGAAGTCTATAGGGAAATGAAATTTAAAAATTGGATCTACCAAGATATTTTCTTTATAAATTACTCCATGAGCACTTTAATATAACCCTTATTTGTTTGTTGTTGCTATTATGCTCAAAGACACGTGGGACATTGTGGTCTTTTCCACCGTTTTGGTCATTTTCTTTTTCCTATTTGCCGTAGACCAGCAAATATAAGAGCCAAAAAGTTGAGGGGGTGAGCGATACATGATGATTATAATAGGGAAAATGATTTGATAGGGCCAAGCCCTAACCAAATAAGTAAATCATCACTTCAAGTCTCATCTAAAAGTGAATTCAAGCATTGGAAAACCTTTATGTTGATCATATGGACTTGAAGATTAAGATTGTGAAAAAAATTAAGCTTTCAAACACTAAAAATACAATGTAACAAATTATCTAGATCGTTTATTTTACTTTAAAAATAAGTGTTCATATATTTGTAGCATTTTCTAAGTTTCAGAATTTATTGTCGGTGTTGGAAATTGATATTAGAGCCATCATAAAGATTTGGGTCATTGAAAGTACTTTCCGGATGAGGATTTTCCGGATGAGGATTTGAGGTGACGGTTTATTTTGTTTTCATAAAACCTAGGTCTCATATAAACCTCGTCTTTATAATAATGGTTCTCCATTTGATGAAGGGTAGTGCATTGAACGTGTTGTCTTCTCATTGGTGTCGTAACCTCGGCCGAACCATAATTTCTTTGAATTTTCAGGGAATCTTGGCACTCTTAGTTATTATATTTTCAATTCCTCAACCTAGATAAATAATTAATACTTTACATATATAAAGTCGTATGCTCTTGTATTTATGAGATGAATGAGAAAGAAAATCCTTTAGGTTCCAAATCTCAACTCATAAAAACACGCCCTTTTTTTCCTGCAACTCCAAATACAAGTATTTAAGATATGTACTTGTAATTGAATATATTACCTCCTACTATCCAAATTCACAGAGTGCTTGCTCAAACTCCCCTGCATGGCAGAAAAGATAGAGATCTCTGCCATTAAGGACTCAAACACCCCCTTAGAACCAGAATGTACACCATTTTCCCTCAAACTTCAACCATTTGAATCCTGTCTCTGCAACTCCAAACACACTAGAACCTGGAGATCTTCACATCCAAACAAACACATTACCTCTTAAAGGGGAAAATATACACTATTTTTGCTCAAATGCATCTCATTTGAAAGATCATCTTGCCCTGCAACCCCTGGTTCACTTGAAACTAAGGATCTTTGCAGGAATGATACACATAACAATGACCTGCAACTCCTACATTTGGTTCCAATTGAATTGGAAGAAATTAAACTAGAGAAGAGTGGAGACAAAACCTTGATGTGATCTCAGATAAAAAATGATAGACCAAAAGACCGAGATGAGGGGGGGGGGAGGGAGAGAGAGAGAGAGGAGAGAGAAGTTAGATAAATAGGTTGGAGAGAATTACCACAAAACCATCATTCTCTCCGCTTGGAGATAAAGCTCCAGGTCCAGATGGTTTTTCACTTTTCTTTCAGAAGTTTGGAATATAGTTAGGGAGGAGTTATTGGATATCGTAAATGTGTTTATAATGCGTGGGGACTTCATAGGGATTAATTCTACTTATATCTTTCTTTCTTTTTTGACCATTTATAAATTTTATTGCTTTCGGAGAGGATTACAACATATGTACATCACGCAAAACCAAAAGCATAGTCAAAGAAGTTCCCCTCTTAGCTAACGAATCAGCTCGAGTTAGCTTATCTAAAAACATGTTGGAAAGAGACTGAGTCCTCCTGTCAAGTCTAGAATCTCACACCACATAGGCCTAAGGGTCCAAGGTACTCTCTGCTTATTTGTACACCAGTTGATGACATTCAGAGAATCTTCCTCCACCATGCAACAGTTGCCCACATTTTTCTCTCTGAAGAGTTTCAAACCTTGCAACAGAGCTACAAGTTCTGCGACGATAGCAATGACTTGACCCAATGGCCCAAAAACCCAACTAGTACTCTTCCAATGGCATCTCTCGCCACACCCCCAATACCGGCATCTCTCGGATTCCCATAAGAACTTCCATCGAAGTTCAATTTAAAAGATCCCTCCATTGGTGGTGTCCATCTACCTACACGCCTACTTCTGATCATTCAAAGATGAATAAGATTGTGAATATTTCGTATTACATTTACCTGTGAAATACCTTGACATTCTTTGGTAACACTTAGCGAATTCCAAATTGAATGTCAAGCATTGTTAAGAACCCTTTCTACAATTAAAGCATTACCTTCAGAAACTCTCCTATTTCGTTCTTTCCACACTTCCCATAAAACTGCTCCTCTAACAACTTTCCAAATAACAATACCAACATTCGAAAAACAAGGAAAGCTTAATTGGGAGACAATCCCCAAAACACCTTGAGGAAGGGTCGCACTAATACCAAAGAGATTCAGAAAATTATTCCAAATCTTAGCCATAAATGGACAGTGAACAAAAAGGTGAGCACATGTTTCCTCATCCATCTTACACAATAAACAAAAATTTGGCAATACCTTGCCTCTCTTTATCAGACTATCAATTGTTAGTACTTTCTCTTGTGTCGCTAGCCATATAAAAACCTGCACCTTGTGTGGTATAGGCCATTTCCAGATTTGTGATACTTGTGGCAACATCCTTCTCCACTTGTCATGGAACAACAAAGAGTAAATAGACTTAATTGTAAACTGCCCATCACTTTCTACATCCCAAATGATCTCGTCCTCCATAATCTGAGAGAGGTTGAACTCCTCGAGTTCCCTCAACAAAACAGTGTATTGTGACAACATTATATCGTCAAGTCCATTATAAGGAAACTGCAAATTCCATACCAACTGATTGTTCGATAATGTATAGACCTCATTCACTGTAGCCTCCTGATTCACTACCTTCTCAAACACATATGGATAAGCTAGCTTTAGTGAGAACTCTCCAACCCATTTGTGATGCCAAAAGGAAACTTCAGACCCAATTCCTACGCACCATTAAATATTCCTAGAAATCAAAGTTTTGCACAAATAAATATCTTTATAAAAAACAAATCTATTCGAGCTCCCTCTACCCCCTCTTATCCAAAGACCAAATCTATCCACCCCATATTTAGCACTTAGAACTTGGTACCATAAGTGGTCCTTAGGTTTGAAACTCCGTTGCCACCACTTGGATAGCAGAGCATCATTCATCAATTTAAGTCGTCTAATCCCCAAACCACCTTCTTTCCTTGGCATAAAAACTCTATCCCACCTAAGTAAATGATAGTTATTCCCTCCTCCAAAAGAGCCACAAAGAAAATTACATATCATTTGTTTCATCTTTTTGACACAATTCTAGGCATTTTCAATAATGCCATCTGATAAATCAGGAGATTTTCCAAACGCAATCTTAACAAAGTCACCCTTCCTCCCTTAGGCAGATATTTTGGTTTCCATAAGTCCAACTTAATTTGAACCCTTTGCAGTACCTTATCCCATAACTCTAGAATCCGAAATTGGTAGACCTAAATAAGTAATGGGAAAACATCGGTCCTGCACCCCAATCTCTCAGCTAAATTTGTTACCACCTGTTATACATCATTTTTGACATACTTGTATTATCGAGACACCTAAGGAGAGAGCCAATTGCAAACTGGTCCCGTCGATACCAAAAACACCGCCAGACCACGGGAGCAATGTGGAAACAAGCATATTTTGGGTAACATAAAAAAAAGTGTCAGATTGGCCTCAAAATGGATGAGAGGGTAGTTTTGGCTGCCCTAAGGACACCCGTAAAATTTCATCACATTATGACAAGTGTTAAGCCAATAAGGACAAAACTCAGTTTTCAAATCCAATCCATGTCATGCTGAAAATGAACCATATAATTACAACCCTATTTTTTGGGTCTCAGATGAACACCATACCACCGCCATTAGATCTGAAATGTCGAACTAAATTTCGGCTCAATCGAATCCTCTGGAACTATTTTGGGCCTAACTTACCAAAAAAAGGGTGGGTTTTACACCATTGCAGTGCAGCCTTAGTGAACTAGTTTCGATTTATGAAATTGTGTTTTCTCATTTTGGGATGAATTTCAAATGTTTATAACTTGCTCATTTTGAGTCCAATTACCCTCAAATTCGGACACGAGCTAGATCTCATCGATACACTCATTTTGACATACAACACGCATCATGGTGTGACCCGAAACGAGATAATTTTTAGAGAGAAGATGGGCTCGA